CCCCGCCACTTGGAACCCGGAGCCAACGACACAGCGCACGCGCGCTCCGAAACAAGAAAATCATAATCAATTCGGTAAATACTGATGACGTGCATGCCGGTGTACCTCTCGATCGCTAAACAAGTTTTCCTCGTTGAGTTTCTATTACTCTAACGAATATTATTTAAGTAGTGTAACTAGAAAGCCATCAAGATGTTGCAAGGACTCTTCGGCGACCTCCAGCGGATGAACAAGCGTCAGGTAATTTAATTAAAAAAATCTCCTGTTTCAGTATAAACATATGGCCTACTTGGGATTGAAAACAGCTAATAAATTTTTCTTATCAATGAAACTCAGTTCATCTATCAATTATTGAGCTTTGGTATGATCGTATCGTCAGCGCTGATGATATGGAAAGGTCTGATGGTCGTCACGGGGAGTGAGAGTCCCATTGTAGTCGTCCTCAGGTACGTGTCAACATAACCCTGTAAACCAACGTCACCATGTCGCTTGTTAAATGGAAAAAGGTCGTAATTGAAAAAAGGTGGTATAGGGGAGGGTGGGGTAAAATGGACACTTTTGATATTTAAAGAAATATTTATAACTCAGAGACAGATTTATCAATTAAAATCTGTTTAGACTCAACACAAAGGGAAAGAATTGTTCTTTTTATTGAAAAATGAAAAAAAATATTTCACCAACAATTCAACCTGTCAATTAACATTTTTAAAAAAGTAAAAAATGTCCGTTTTACCCCACTCTCCCCTAAACCTAATGTAGGGAACAAGAAATCTGGACGATTTGGGCACTTTGGAATCATTTTAACTCAACTTTTGAGGACAGTTTTTTTTGACGTATGCGACCTTTTCCCCAAATTTTTCTCCAATAGAAATTTCTCTAGAATAATGGTTATTTCTTTAAAAGTACGAACGAATATCAGAAAAATGAAGAGAAATCAGTGAGAAGATTTTTTTTTATTTTTCCACTATTGGAAGAGTATTTGTGGAAGAAGGTCGTATGTGCCAAATAAAATTGTCCACAAAAATTGGGTTAAAATGATTCTGCAGACCCCAAATAGTCAAGATTTCATGTTCCCTAGATTAAAAATCCCAAAACGGTCAATACGACCTTTTTCCATTTAGCCCGCGATATATCCTCGACAATTCTTAACAAATCAGTCATTAATTTATCATTGATTGTCACTTACGTCCCCTCAGTGGAAGTATGGAGCCAGCATTTCACCGTGGTGACTTGCTATTCCTCACGAATTACCAGGATGAACCTGTTCGTGTTGGGGAGATCGTTGTCTTCAAGGTCGAGGGTCGAGATATTCCAATCGTACACCGAGTACTTAAGCTTCATGAGAAGTATGAAAAAATCCCCTTACTACCCCAAGTAATTCATCACAATGGCTAGGGGCGAATGGGGACAAAATGGAAACTTGTAAATTGTTCCAAATGTTCAATGAGTCATTCAGTTTTTAATGGAATTGAAAGATTTTTCTGGAATGGAAGGCACAACTTTAATTGTAAATATTGCTGGAAATGTCAAGAATGTCCATTTTGCCCCACCCTCCCCTATCAATGTTGTAATAATACTTATCGGTTTTATCATCTAGGGCGGATGCAAATAGCACTGTTAAATTCCTGACAAAAGGTGACAACAACTCCGTCGATGATCGAGGGTTGTATGCTCCAGGTCAGCTGTGGTTAACTCATAAAGACGTCGTTGGCAGAGCAAGGGGATTTTTACCTTACGTTGGAATGGTCACAATATTAATGAATGAGTACCCCAAACTCAAGTACGCAGTTCTAGCTTGCCTTGGATTGTATGTATTAATTCACAGAGAGTAAGGGTAGAGTCAATTGAAACTAGACTTTTCACAATAATTTATCTTTTATGGCTACTATTAAGTGCATTTTTCGTTGAATAATAAAATTAAGATTTTTAACAATTACCATTGAGATTTTGTCATTAATTGATAATTCTTGGTTTTTTTATATTAAATTTTTGCCGAAGTGGTTGACAAAGACAACATTTTTGAGCAAGCGTATTTTTCATCTCACCAAGGGGTTTTCACCCCATATTTGTACTTCGAACGCACACCTATTTAGAAAAAAATGTTTACATATCATTCGTAAACAAGCGCGTGTTAAAGCGCAAATTGCAGCATTGGTTAATGAGGCACATCATTAACCTTTCACCGAGACGAGTTGTTTTTAATTTGTTATGGTGGGAGCTCATTATAATACGATCATTGATTCTGATTCAAAGGAATTCTTTCGGTTATCTCTGCGCGAACGTCGGGAGTCTCGACGATTGTTTATTTCATTTTTTATTTCGTCTGTGTGAGGAAAATTGTCTTGCCGACAAAATGAAAGGTTGATTCATTATTCTTTCGTCGTGTTGTTTGACAGATGTGAAGCGTATTTAAATAGAATGAGCATGATATGTTCATGATTTCATAATCTTTCGATTTCTCTCTCATTAAAGGAGGATAATAAATGAACAAACACGAATCATCCAATTAGAGCGTTTATTTTGATAATACTTCATAATCGAGAATTCAGTAGTACAGATATAAAATTAACATTTCAATATTTCACGGGATATATTATAAAAAATGAAGATAGAATCAGTTTCGAGGCGTCAGTCTGATCCACGTCCTCGTCGGCTGTACAATGAGGCCCGGATATTTGTCCTCCATGCTCGTGGGTTGTCCCTCGACGAATGAAAAATTAAACTGCTGTATCAGTGTTGCGAACAGTTCAAACATGACGAACCTTGCAAATGTTTCGCCTCCACAAACACGTCGGCCTGAACCAAAATTGGTCATGAGAACTATTTATAAACCATTTAAGGCTGAGGTGGATTATCTTTTAAACGTTATCTCGATTGTTTTTCCATCTTCATAATGTAAAATATATCACAATTTCCGTTGGATTTTACATCACGCAGGGCTCCCTAAAAATTCATTAAAAAGTGATTGTACGATCAAAAAAAGTAGAAAAAAACTGAACATTTTCGAAAAGCGTTTTTAATAAAGATTAAGAAATAAGTCCGATAGAGAGAAAATCGTGAATGAATAATTTGTTATGGTAACTAACGATCTGACAGCCATTGATACATCAAACTGTTAATTTGCAATTTCCTCCCTATTGGCTTTATTTCCCAATATTATTCAAAAACGCTCTTTGAAAATGTTCAGCTTTTTTTCAACGTTCTTTTGATTGTACAATCATAATTTTTGGAGACTCCAGGGCTATAAAAGCTGTAAAACTGAATAGCAATTGGAGATCATTTCAGATTATCAAAATAAAAAAAACAACCAAGATCACGTTCAAAAGATAATCCAAACGGACCTTAATGTAATTCGTCAATTGCATCAGAAAAATTTCGTTTACCCAATCCAAACGGAAGTGTGAAATCTTTGACGGGCTGCCCGTTCTTATCGAGGAACCTCTCGGGTCTAAAATTCTCAGGATCGCCCCAGAAATCGGGGTCATTGTGCATTGCTGCCAAGTTGGTTATCATGACGGTATTAACTGGGATATCGTATCCTCGGAGTGTCGTATTCTCCACGCATCTGTGAAGTACACCCATCGGCGTCAACGTTTCCATCCTCATTGCTTCGCGAAGAGCCGCCTCCGTATATGGGAGACTAAAGGAAACAGAAACAAAGGATTAGTGATACCACGAGACACTTTACGAGACATCACGAGACAATAATTTGGAGGGATTATCTCGGTCTCAGTGAACGCGGAAATTTCTGCTCTCGTCTCAGTCTCGAAATACGCAGTATCGACTCCTGTCGGATTGACACCAAGTCAATTTATCTCACTTTGGTTTCCGCGTTGGTTTTTTGCGTTTTTTATATGTAGAAAATCGAGACGAGAAAAAGCGAGACAAAAACCGAGATTTTACATTGAAAATGCGAAAAACTTGAGACCGAGATGAGATAAATTGACTCGGAGTCATCACGAGAGGAGTCGATGCTGCGTATTTCGAGACTGAGACGAAACCAAAAATTTCCATGTTCATTGAGACCGACACCATCTCTATAAAGTATTGTCTCGTAAACTCTCTCGCGGCATCACTACAAAGGATTCATTTCATTCATAAGGGCGCTCACTTTTTCCTGTCATTCCATTCCGGAAACCGTTCCCGCCCCACAACATGATCGAGCTCCGCCTGAGCCTTCTTCATAGCTTCCGGATTATGCATCATGTACTTGTAAGCGTGAACAATAACGCTCGGTACAGCTGAGATTGCGGGGAACATGAAATCAACGGCAACCATCACCAACTGTTGCTCGGAATATTCACCAGAAAGCGTGCCCTCTTTGAGTCCATTCAAATACTCCGGAATGAATCCCTCGATCGACTTATTAGCCAAAGCAGCTTCGCTTCTTTCATCAATGTAGCGCTGAAAAATCACAAGTTATTCGTAAATAGCGACGTGTTTCTTGAGATTAAAAAACTCATGATAATGAGGCGTGTGCGTTGTTTATTACTTTGATGAACCTAATCATTCCTTGGTGACCCTCGACCCAGTCTCGGAAACCGAAGAGGTTCCTAAAGTGACTCAACCAGGGAGTCATCGCAACAGCTCCAACTGATGTTTCTCCTCCTTTTTGGAACATCGAGGCGTACATGCATAATTCTCTCAACTCGTCGTGATGCTCTCGATCGAATCTCTCGCCAGTCAAGACTGCCCAAATTACATTGGCGCATGATGGATACAGAATATTTGGAAAATACACCAAATCTCCGTTTACAACTCCCTGAATAGAAGATCTATCATCAATCCTTTGAAAGTCAATTATTCACGTGCGAAAAAATTTCATGGAAAAATCTAGCGCATTCTGACTGCATTCACACTGTAGTGTTTGGCCGATTGCTCAGATTTCTATGGAAAGTATCTCAACGAAAAAAATTATATAAAAAAATCGACTGACTTTTCCTATAAAATAATTTCGATTGAACACATTTTCTGTAAGAAAAACGCGCAGTACAGCGACGGAATTTTCAATGCGAGTTGAAGTGAAATCCGATAGAATCGCGTGTTTTTTTTTGCATATGCAAACCTTCTCAGATTCATTAATCGTTCCATTCTTTATGGTATCCACCAAGATCCGCAGCTCCTCCTCGAATTGACTTTCCAGTCCCCCGTGTCGCCTTCCAAATCCGAAATCCCTCATGTTCCGAAGGGCAAATCGTCTCTGCTCTTGCCATTCCTCTCCATCATTGAAGAAAATACCTGATATTGAAAAAAAATACTCGTTTGGTAACTGTGTCAGAGATATTCATCGACTGGTAGAATCTTTACCCAATGTTTTTCCCCAGGATCTTGTCAGTCCCATGAAACTGTTCGTGTCTCTCCCATCGAACTCTTTTCTAGTGAGCACTTCTTTCACAGTTTCGTAATCGTTGACAACCACCGTGTAGTAATTTCCCATCCACAAACTGATTATCTTCGATTTGTATTTTTTAACGTAGTACCTGATTGTATTGTGGGGGAATTTGTAATTTCCCCATAGTAACAACCAATAGGATCCCCATAGGGGGAGACGTACTGGCCCTACAAAATTCAGAAAAAACGATTCGAATTATTTAAAGTAGCTCTACCCTTACGGTAAGTTCAAAGATTATTGAAAACTGCAAAAAAATTGCAGAAAACTCGATTAGATTCGGAATTTTAATTTTTTTCTCAATTTAATTATCGTTTTGGTGTTTCAATGAAGAAATGTTTAAAAATCAGGATTTAATCCAGTGTCTTATGTGAAAATCAACATTTCCATTGTAATCAAGGATTGAAATCTGAATTTTTTTTCATTAGATGTGAAAAAATCAAGAATTTTTTTGACACCTCATAAAAAATAATCCACCGTTTTGCCATCAAATTTTATTATTTATTTATAAGAGGGAAATGTTTGAAAAAATGTCAGTATTTTGCGAAATTTAAGTTAGATAATACTGACTGGGTATGAATTGTTTCAAATTTTTTCCATGCAATTTAGTTGAAAAATTTAAAAACTGAAAATATCCAAAAGTACAGCGTAGCCCGGCCGAAGGGTAGAGCTGCTTTAATTGGTCCGTTTTGCTCTACCCTATCCTGCACGGTGAAAAATAAAAAATTAAATGGATAGAATTTCCCACAAAATTTCTTCTTAAACAAAAATTGAGATTAACAACTTTGGTAAAATTATGATAAATTTAGCTTACCCGGTGGAGCCTTTCCAGGTTTCGAAGTAACAAAATTATAACACGCATATAAAACTAAGAGCGCGGTAACAATAATGAGTAGAGGCGACATGTTTCTCCTTCTGCAAAATTTCAACAACTAACCGAGTTACCCACTAAGTTGAAAGATCGAAGGCCCTGTTTATATCAATAGTTCCACCACCAAAGCGACCTTTGATACTCAAGCATCCTTCACATTATATTAATAAATTGCGAAGCGAACGAGATAAGAGCTTTCTTTGCTCCGCTTTCTTTTCACGAAGTATGATTCGAATCGCTTAATAAGACTACCAGAATTAACATTTTTTTTTTCATTGCGAATGCAATCCATCTGTTTATTGGGAAGCATCATAATGAGAGAGGATTCCCATTAATGTACGAAACATTGAGATTCATTCAGAGAAACAATTTTATTAAATTTCTCAGACTAGAAAATTACAAAGACGTTCAACTACGAAAGAGAAAAATAACTGTACATTGGCGTATTTTCGAATTAATTCATTACTTCACGTTAGATACGCGTCTAAAAGTGATTATAAGTACTAATTCATTATCACGACATCTAATTACAATATTTTGTATCACCAGTACATGCAAAAAGCAGACTATCCTCAATAATAGCGCGAATACGATCATCTCGCATTATTACCGAACCAACATTTGGAGTCAATTGATATAAAGTATAAATACATCGCCCTAAACAATTAATTATTTCTTTATCGAAAATTGGCGTTTCGGTTAGATCCAAATGGAGCTTGAGGAATGCTGTGTAGAGTGGGGTGCAGTGGGCTGGAATCCGCAGGTGGAACAAGGTGAGAATAACTTCTGCAGTCTGACGAAAAAAAAAAACAATCAAATAGTATTCTAAGCCTAGTCCAATTGACTTTATCATTTATCATTTCTTCTCATTAAAAAAACACCAGAACGGAGGCATTTCATGGGTTACCTGCAGAGTTGCTTTCAGAGTTCTCAAATCTGTGTGATGACTACAGTATTCCTCAAGTATCCTAATGAGTCTTTGCAACCATTTGGCACATCCAAGATCTGTTAAAAGTTGGGGTAAACTCGTCATGTATGCGTGACGTAAATCCAAGTCCTGCTCCATTTCCATATTATCTAGAATTGTTGCTATCACGTCATCTCTCTTTGTCCACTGGGATGAATCAGCGAAATTTAAGAATTTAGTTGTTAATTCAGGATAATTTCATCTTAGACAACAATTGGAGTGGTACGTTCTTTTGTTCAATTGGATATGACAAATATTGCATACGTTTTCTTTATTTTAAATAAAAAATGTATCCAATTTTTGTATTTCATTTTTCTATTAAAAAAATTATGAGATAATCCAATTAGAATTATGTTTACCTCAAATCTGCTCGAAGAATCATTATTGTTTTCAATAGCAGTCAAAACATGTGTGATGCAAATGAACGTTGGGATGACATATCTTACATCACGTTGATGTGTCAATTTTTCCACAGCATCATATACAACCTCAGCATAGCCATTTTCCACAAATTCTCTGTGCTGAGGGTACAAAGAAATAATTAACTATTGACACAAACGATGGAACTTGTATTTCTCCCAATCAAGTGATAAGATGTACAATTAAATTCCCAATTACTCTCTGCACATCAGTATTCGCTAATGAACGCCTTAATTGGATAATAATAAAAGTTGGAATATTGCTACATCTTTGGAAATTGTAAATACATTTATCTCTGGGGGAAATAAGGAATATTCGAGGTTTGTTCAAAGTACATACCGTTGAAGAGTGTTGAATTATTCTGTAGATACATTCTAACCCGATAATTCTATTTTCTGGCATAAAATCGTCGAAAATAATTAATGCCGTTGGAAGAATGCTCGATAAATATTTCGCCAGCCCAGGAATCTGAAATAAATCATAATCCAAAGATGAGTGGATGATAATTACATCGATTACTCGATTTTTCCAATTTAAAAACCTACCTCGACTTGATTTAATAGCCATTTATAACAAGTTACGGCGCCAGGATAAGTTTTCCACGTATCGCTCATCAGTTTAGGCCTAAGAATCATCAAAATTGTCTGAAGTTTATCATCAGGCCCACATAAGACACTAGATAGATTGCTATTTCCAATTAATCCGCAAATATCAGTCATAATATTCTGAACAATCCCAGGGGTTTCATTAGTATTCCAAGGGCTCCTCTCGCTCTGCTCCCCAACAGTGATAATCAGATGTATCACAATGATCCTCATCACTTCTTCGTCATTCCCTCCTTCATTAGACTCCAAAAAAAGCCGACGAAACACTCCACAGATTTCCGTGAGATTACAATCGAGTGTTGCTCGATAGTCTTGAAAATCTTTTTCAACACATGGCATGTCCACTCCACTCATGCATTGAGGAACAAATGTGTCGACACATTTTTTCCAGAGAAGTGCGGATGCTGAGTTACCCGTGATCTTCATGCTCTCCATTTCTCTCATTAATTCTTCCATGTTCACCATTCCTATCGCTCAATTTCAATCCTTTCGGTTTACAAATTTATCACAGATAAATTTTTCAATTGCTCGTGTACAGCACACGAGGAATTTCAAAAATTCTGAAGACATATTTTGGCCCATAGTTCGTCATCATTTCCTCCGCAATTTCTATGAAATTGTCAAGTGGTTGTAAAAATTGAGGATTAATTCAGTACAATTGTCATTAAATTTTCTGCTGTGAAAATACCTCAATTATTATCGGAATCAGTGGACTACTCCTCTCTAGTTCAGACAGCTTCCAAATTCTATTTGCAGAATTTTTATTCTTCGCGAAAAATTTTTATTGTCAAATTCTTTGGATTCACCATTGTTAGAGTAGTATCAGGGAGACTCAGCTGAGATGAGAATAATGTCTTTGAATAAGCAGCCAATACACTACATAGAACGAAATAGTTGCGCAATTTGGCTCTATTAAAAAGGAGAAAACAGTACGAAAATTCCGCTAACGAATTGCAGTTAGTGATGAGAGATTCTGCGTTTTATTTTTCGATATAGCAGACGAATAACTTGATTCCCTGCATTCCTGGATTTGTCCTGAGGTGAAGTTTGAATAGTACTCCACAAGAGGCAGCACTCGCTGGTGGAGGCTTTTAGGTTTGTGCTCGGTTGGCTTGAATCTCTCACAGATACCGCTGGTAGCATGCGATGGTGATAATCAGATGATCGTGGTAAACAAAAATCATAACCCTCTGCTGTCATTCGAAACAATGATTCAATTATTAACTTCGGGAGAGTAATAATTATTCCATTAAATAAAATTCGAAGGAATTCTTGGGCCACGAAAATTTTATTCATTTATAATCAACAATAAAATATTTATCAACTGTATTATTCACAGGTACTTCATTCAAATACAATATTTCATCCTCATAAATCCATGTTTAATGCTCAATTCTCATATATTATTCAACTCTTCCAGGAAATCGCCACCTGATCCTCCACTCTCCCCATTGGCCGTTGAATGGTGATACGGTGAGTCGAATTTCTACTAATTTATTCATATATTTATTTACGTTTCGATATCTATTTAATGTTTTATAATCTGTCTATTGACTACACGTAACATCACTGCCGAACAAAACTCAAGGATATTTTTCGGGATTCAAATGGGCATAATTTTCATGACAATTAATAGGATTGTACTTTATTCAGAATCAATATGAGGTGAGGGTGCAACAGTTATATCGATCTCGCTCGATTCGTCGCTTTCGCGTTTTCGCCCGCCCCAGGGATCGAACGGCACCCTCGGTAGATTGTTATTGACAGCCATGCCTTCAGCATTCAAGAATTCCTTCTTCTCCATTTGATTGAAATCACCTGAAAAGGGTGAATATCGATATTAATTAGTGCAGTCCATTTGTCTCACTCCCCCCCACCCCCCCTCCCCCCGAGCCATTCATTCTCACCAACTAATTAACTCACTCATGAGGAAATCGTGAGGATCAAGAACGACTGATTTGGGATTATTAATAATTGAATGATGCCAGGAATTTCTCAAGATATCACTGGCTGGCACACGTAAGATATCCTCGATAACTAAAGACCTCTTGCCACCCCAGCTGTTGAATGGTTTCTTAATGACATCTGTATGTTCACCATCGCGCTTGCCACCCCAACTGTTGAACGGCACTCGCGCCGGCCTCCTTATCTTGGGATCGGGTTTGTAAGCACTCGAGTCACGTTTACCACCCCAGGGACTGAAGGAAGGATTTCTGCGTTCCTGAAGGACCAAAGCGTGATTTCGATGTTGCTCGATGGAGCTGATAATCTGTTATATATATATATATACAACCATTTACGGGAATGACTGCACAGCCACATAACTCGAAAATAAATGTACAAACCACGGGAAATGAGAAATAATGAAATTTTCTTGCCTTATCACTCTCGATATCCGGCCAGAATGACCATGTTGCGAATGCGGGGCTCCTTGAGCTCAGTCTATGCATTGTCGGACCATCGTGAAAGCCAACTTTTATGATCGACCTTCTCTGCAAATGCCTCAGAGAATCTTTTAATTCTTTCCAAGCTAAAATCCATTTTCACATTTATATTCAACGGTTTTTTATTTCGAGTTTTTTAATTGTCAAATTTTTGCGTTTACTTGCATCGTGGGAAGCTAGACCCATTTTCATTGCTTCCAACCAATTGATCATCTTCTGTCTCTCATTGTTGCGCAGATATACGTCTTGAGACCCTTCGATATCGACAGATTTTGAGACGAGGAGAAGGATTGTTATCCCAATTAAGTGCCACATTCCTTGAACCAAGTATCACATTCAATAAATTAGAAAACGTCTTGATCATTGAACTAAGTCTATTCATCGAGCTTGGAAACGAACTTTAAATTGAATTTACGTCAAAATTTTTCATAGTGACTGAGTGAGACGCATCACAACCTCATAACGAACTTCAAAAAGCCATGAAAAATTCACAGTTCACTTCTGTAACTCGTTTAACAAAGCTTTCAAACCCTGTCAGCTCCCATTATTCGCGTCATCCCCGGCGAAAAAAAAACGTTGACTATCTTACCAGCACAGCACTAAATTAAAAAATAACCCTCACTTTCTCATTCCGTGAATAAAAATCCCCTGATAAACACAATAAAGAATATAAATTGAAAAAACTCACCCGAAATATTATGACAAGAACAGTTTGAAGTGTGAAGAAAGCTCGCGATTCCGTCAATCCGTTGTCAGGAGAGCAATGAAAATGAAATCGAGGAAATTCAAATCCAATTGGAGCTTGCGAGACAAAAGCACAATTAGGAATTCGACTCTCACCAGATGGAAATTGAGGGCTTTTCACAGTGGAACAACGGATACTTGCAAAATGTTCACCAAGGGTGCTCGTGCCCCATTCTTATATACTCGCCACCTGTCGCACATCCTGTCTTCCCATTGGTGCAAAAATCCCGCGCCCATAAACCCAGCGGCAGCGGTGGTCTTGTGCTCTCGCCTACGCGCGCACCCTCAGCCTGTACTTCCCTCTCGGATCCTTCGGATTATGTGTTTATTTTTTCATCTTTCATTTTTCTTTTTCGAAAGTCATAACGTCTTTCATATTGCGATTGTTCGCAACCCCCCATGTTTCACATCCTCTCTCAGTAGAGTTTTCATTCGATTAGAAAGATGCAATTGTATCGGAAATAAATAAGCTCGATTACTGGGTTTATTCCCAAAGGTTTAACAACATTCCAATCTGTTTTTCCTCGTTCATCCTCCAGCATTTTTATTTCCTGCATTGTTATGGATTCAGTGATATCTCATGATATTACTCTTCCTTTCAATAATCTTTGTACAAGAAAAATTACAAGGATGCCACAGAGTGCGTCCCTTTAATACGAGACAGAACAGTGTACTACATGACTACATGACCATTTATTTTGATATTTAATGTGAGATTGGGGTACCATGTGTGCAAAAGCAGTGGGTCGTTTCTTTTCATCATCTTCCTGACAAACTATCTCACATTCGCATCATAAATAACATCGCGCGACTGCTGACTCCCTTCATTTCCACGCATTTTTTTTTTTTAAGAGAAAATGGAAAAATAAGTAGGAACAACTGAAAAACATGAAATGTAATTTTTAATCTCTCTCCGCTGTTGGAATGTAGGGATATTGAAATAACGAAAGTAAAATCGTGTGACGCTGAACGCCTGATACGAAAAATTTAGAGTAGATGGCGCAGAAATTTGTCGAATTAATTCCACACAATTGTTTTCGTACATTCCACTGACTCCTTCAACTTGATTTTTTTTCTCTCCCCCTCGAACTTTCACTGACTATTGGACGTTTTTCTTCTCTCAATTTTTATGATAATTTCACGTGCCCCCTCCTCCCACAGCATCACACGGTCATTGGCGTAAAAAATTCAAAATCACCGGAATGAATGATTGATCAACATGACATATATTATTCTGTCTGAAGGAGACGAAACATGAAAATAATAAAATACTTCAATGACACAAAGCATATTTGCCACCACTTTGATTAAATATATATTCGATTTCATTCCTTCAATTCTGTGATCACGTGAAGCAAGTAGTTATCACGAGCTCTAGGATGACATAATTTTCACACGGAGAGAAAAATTTAATAAAAATTACCGCAAAGAAAACGTAAAAATTACGTTTTGAAACGTAATCCACAAGCGAAGTAAAATTCAGTAAAAAATGTGAGTCGGAACTGAAATTGTACGAATCGCCACGTAAATTCTACGATTCGTTCCGTACAAATTAACCACCCGTCTGATGACTCACCGCTGTGGGAACAAGTCGTTTCGTAATTTTTCCCCAACGATTGAGAAATTTTACGGAACGAAACGTAGAAATAACTCACCAGCTTCATAAAAATTGTTGAACGTTCAAGAATTGTCTATTTTGGAGGCATAATAAGTCGGCAAGTTTCTCTGAGATTTTACTTCTTCGGGAAAAATTACGTAACAATTTCGTACTTTGTTAGATGATGAACCTGAAAATTCACTGAACGTTTCAGATTTCTTCTCTTCCATTCCTATAAAAATTGCCGGAAAACGATTCTCCATTCCGGATTACGTGAATTGTTCCGTAATTTTTTACTGAATATTTCTCTCCGTCCAGTGAGAAATTTTAGAGTTCTCACTTGTTGTTTCACTTGATCACAGAATTGCAAAATTGTTTCTTCGTCCCGTCGTTTCACTTCTTCCAGTCGCGGAGAAGTGCTGACAGATCATTCGCTGATCTCTTTCCTCTGGCAATGTAGAACGGATCCTGTTCCTTAAGCAATTGCTCCACGATCTCCCCTCTCCTATCCCGAATGGAACGATAGTTTCCAGGTGAATTGGTCGAATGAAATTCTAAATTCGTGATCCCCTGGAAATCATTCTTTTTGCCCCTGGATTTTTTTCCGCGAGATATGAAGAACGGCTCGTTCAAGATGTCCATAACGTCCGAGTGTTTGTCCCTAGGCTGAACATAGCCACTCCTAGCCGCCAGATACTTTTCCAATCCTCTGTAGAAGCTCTTCATACTCTCATCAGCCTCGCCATTCATGTTGACACCCTCACTCCGACGAACCTCGCGTGTTGGTTTCGAAGAACTTGTTTGTGGTACGTTGGCTGAATCTACTCGAATTTTGTCGATTAACCGCTTGCCTCTGGCCATTATGAAAGGATCGTCCCCGTTGACACCCGGGTCTTCATTACCGTCTCCTTTGATTTCAAGAGAAACCCATCCCGGTTCGTCCACGTACAAAGGCTCTTGAAGCGTCCATTCTCGAATCGTCCGACTACACCTAACTCCCGTACCGAGTCCAAAGGACATCAAGAAATTGCGCTTTTTCACGTCGTCGAGATTCTCACATCTCGTCGCCAATATACGAGACGGTCGGGGTGGATTGCTGAATCCAGTCCGTAATCTGCCGTCACCGCTTTGTCCCATTGCATAACTACTTTGAGAAATTAGAGAAATCCACTGTTAGAAATAAATTGAAATTTCAGGAACAGTTGTCTAGCAATTTTTGGAAAATTCTCATTGAATTCGTTTTAGATTTTCGAGCAACGATAATACATCTCGTGGCAAAGTATTTTCAACTTTATATTCACCCGAGGTTTCTTAGCTGATCCATTGTAGGCCGGTACATGTCAAACTGAGGAGTACGTGGTGAAAATAGTCTGTCGTCACCGATTTGTCCCATTGCATAACTACTTTGGGAAATTAGAGAAATACACTGTTAGAAATAAATTGAAATTTCAGGAACAGTTGTCTAGCAATTTTTGGAAAATTCTCATTGAATTCGTTTTAGATTTTCGAGCAAAGATAATACATCTCGTAGCAAAGTATTTTCAACTTTATATTCACCCAAAGTTTCTTAGCTGATCCATTGTAGGCCGGTACATGTCAAACTGAGGAGTACGTGGTGAAAATAGTCCTCTGTAAGTGTCCCGAGGGTCCCAGACCGTCGACGCCGGGGCTGCAAGATCCCTCGCGTTACCATCGAGTATTATTCGCGTTGGCGTACAACTTCCATGCTGAAAAATTGCATTTACGTCACACGAAAAGCAAAAAAATTGCCGTAAATTTTATGCTTTCACAGCATCAAAATAGTATGACAGTTGCTCACCCTGATTGACGCACTCAACAAAATAATTATGAATAAAGTGTTGATAATCCGCATTTCGATCACTTGTTCCAAGGAAATCCGTCAATTCGTTGTTAACTTGACCGGACGTAGCCGCAACGGTGTAGCACCACCAGCCGAGATCTGTACGATAATGCCGCAGGATCTCATCTGTCCCCCAGTATTTATGCTATCGTCCAGCCACTTTTTAGTCTCCAATGGGTTCATACTTGTTTCTTCGTTTGGTTTCGCCCCGGAGATCCTCAGAATTGCATTTGGGAATTCATTCTGTACACATGTGGCCATTGTCCACTGTACTGAAACCTACCCACGTCAATCTCCTGCTCGTCGACTGTGCAAACACACCGTCTTTTCCGTTCCACCCTACACATTTTTCTCATCATATTATTCTGTTTTTTTTTCGATTTCTTCCCTTCAGCAGTAATTGATTATCCTGTCACCTTCTCCACTGAAATTTTATTGTAATCAGTTAATCCTCCAGTTGATTATGTTTTTTAACGCATCTTCTGCAGTTCGAACTAGTGATCCAGGGATAAGAGAAGAAAATGGTGAGTTGATCAGAATTAAGTTAGCATTTCAGTAGCGAAGTGAAACAAACGGTTTAGGGGAGGTTGGGGTAAAATGGACACTTTTGACTTTTTTAAAAATATTAGTGGCGGGTTGAAATGTCGATGAAATTCAATCATTTTTTTTTCAATACGAAGAACCATTCTTTCCTTTTGAGATGAGCCTAAACTGAGCAATATTGATACATTTGTTTCTGAGTTATGAATAATTTTTAAAAAGCCTCACCTAAGTCAATTTAATCTTTAGTTGAGTTTTCCAGAAATATTTACGAATTTAAGGGGGATAGCGAAATTTTCATTAGAACCGTTTTTGTAGAGCGAAATGGGTGCTACTAAAAAGGTTATGAGAAAAATTTTGCTATTTCTCTTAGATTTCGAGATATTCATTGAAAACTGGTCAATAGCCAAAATCGACTTGAACCGTTTGACCACTTCGCTACTGATTTGAACAATTGTAATTTTTTGGCATCCGTTGATAGCGATTCCGGTTCTTGGGAGATGGCGACTGTCCGGATTGGCTCCTCGCCGAGATTAATGCGCTATCTCGAATGGTAAGCGATTGATCATGAGTATTAAGCAATCGAAATTACATTGCTGATGATAATTTCCTCTTTAGACGTCCATCAAAGTCAAGCTCCTAGGTCAATTGTTGGTGAAATCAATCATAAGTGGGAACCAGCTAGATGTGAGTACCCCCACGCAGTGAGAATAAATCATTATTTCACCTCGTGAAGGAAATATGTGAAGAATCGTAATTCAGTGTGAAACCAAAGGAAGACGAAGAGACGCGGAATTGACAGAAATGTTGAAATTATGGGCTGAGAGCGAAGAGAATGACATCTAATGTAGTACTTCTTCATCTCCATTCTCTTTCCTCGTCATATTTTTATATACCATTAGGTCATTTATTGCGGCTTTTCCACCTATTTTCTGCAGTTTTTTGTCTCTTCCTCGAGTATCTCGAAGATAATGAATGCAATGTGAATTTCTCATTTGCATTGTTACAAATTTAGTAACTGGAACTTTGGTACATTAATTTTGTATCATTGCAGGAGGATAAAGTTAAGAAGCTTACGTATGATGCAAAACTGGGTAAGATGCATGATGATGAGAAAATGGGAATATAGACTTTTTTCTCTATTTTTTCCCTCTTGATCGATGGGCTTATTCCAGAGTTTGAGGACGCTAAGGCAATAATAGCTGCACTAGAGTTGATTCTAATGTCCTCTGTGAGGTATGGGGTGAACGCGACAGATCTGAGCAGTGAGCTTCAACAATTGGGACTGCCTAGGGAGCACAGTATCGCTATTGGACGCCTACACACCGATAATTTCAATAGCATATTGGATTCACTGACGGCTCAATCTCTCAGATGTAATGAATATTTGCGTAATGTCGTTGCATAACATTTTTTATTGGATAAAATGATAAAATACGATAATTGCAAAATCCCAATTATTCAAGGGATCCAAGTATTTTCTTCTCATGAAAATAGAGCTCTAGTCGTTACTTGGGTTTTTGAAAAATTGATATTGCACTGCATAATTCATCAACCTGTTGGTTCCATTGTAGTGAGTCATTTATCCTCTTGGGAGATATTACCCGGTGATGAGGGCACATCGAGCTTTATCAAAATGTCACTGAAATTGAAAAAGTTGGATGGTACCGAAACAACTACATCCATCAACGTACCGAGAAGTCAAGTTCCTGTTCTTCTCGAGGGTAACTACTCCCCCAAAAATACTGATAATTCTTCTTAATAAATGACACAACACCAGCGAATTCTTGTTTCCAATTATAGAGATGAAGAGAGTCAGAGCGATGATGGAGGACATGTGAATTATCATCAAATTTCGAAAAATTTCAACAGCAGGAAAAAGAATGGACATTTTTTTGTACATGGTTTTTTTATTTCTCAATAAATGAATATACAAAGTTTACACATAATCAAATGACGAGTTGAATATTTTATGCGTCATGGTAGATGATGAGATGCGAGGATAATAGTGCCGCTGTTTATTCCTCTTTGAGAGAGTGTGAAGAAAACAAAAAAAATGGCAAAGAAAATGTCTTAAAATATTATAGAACAAAACTTAATTTACAATGTTCAATCTCTTTGATTTCCTCAACTAAAAATTCATCTTTGCTGTTTAGTTAATTTCGCATCGATATAGAACCATAGTAATATCGTTTAAGTTGATAGTACAGCGTAGGACAGCAGTAAATTGCATTAGAATAAATATCAAAGCAAGATTATATTCTAGTCAGTCTTTATACAATATTTTCTTACAATTATTATTATTTTCACGTTAAAGTTCAGTTGTATGTACAATAGTATTATTTTTCAGTGTAGTTGTGCTTTGAATAGCGAGCTCTCAGCAGCTAATTCATGGATTTTGAGTACGTTTTTTTTTCTTTCTTTCTCTCTCTCTCTTGATCGTGTGTCTTCAAACACAGGAGGGATGAAGAACTAAGTACGGTGTAAAATAAATATACAATAGGTTTGCTTTCTCATATAAAATGTAAAAAAAATATTGTGCGAGTACACTAACATTAATTTTCATTCTTCGACTGATCGTGTGTTTGAATTTTCATCGTGCAGATTCCATTGGTTTTTCTACCTCGCAGTTTCCTAGTCCAGTCTAAATGAATACAAAAGTTATGGTAAAAGTATTTTCCTCCTTTCATATCTTTAGTCCCATTTTTTGTTTCATCTTCTACGGTAAAAAAATATTTTTGTAAAAAAATTGCTTCTTTATCATCCAATCCGACGAACCCTCACCGACTCGTTATTTTCGTTATTGAATTATTATCATTTCTGCGTTTTATTTCATTAATCATGACGTTGAAGGCGAGCAGAGAAAAACTGCTTGTGAAATAGGGAGAGGCAAGAGACCTCAATGATTCTCGGATTGTGATAATGTTGATTAATGATTAGTTATTATCGATTAAATTCGACGAAGCATCGCATTGTTTCACATTGTTATTGTTGCTTTTGGATTTGTCTCGAGGTACACGATATGTCCTAAAGATAAAGAGCACAAAAACTAGCTAACGATTTGTTTTATTCTCACATTACGGATCATCTTTTCCCACGTGAATCATAATTACTGGCATTTCAGTTACTCATTGATCATGGAAAAATATATTACCCTTAGCATTTTCATTGCTGTGCCGCATACAGAGCTATTCATTTTCGTGTCTGTGTACGTGTTTTGTGTCATTGTAATGTGCGTTTATTCAATTTTCATCGGCATTGTAATCATTTAATGCCGAATAATGCAGGAAAAATTATCGAAAATATCTTTCTCGTAACTTCATTTTTTTTTATCAACAAATGATAACGAAATAATGAGTGACTATCGATAGAAATTTAATTATCGAGTGTTAATCCCGATACTCTAATTCTCGTTGCTCCGAGTTCATTGAATTTGTATTAAAAACAAAATCTAAATCACAAAATTTTGGGGGGAGAAGAATTGCAGATTACATTTTTTTTCCACATCTTCTAAATACGTTTTTCTTTATAATTACGAATATGCAAGTATATGCAATTATTTTCCTTTATTTCTAGGTGACGGTCACTGCAATTTGAATAAACATCAAATTACTGTGCTGATTCACTTGTTGAATTTAAGTTCCCTTACCGTCGATTTAATTTTCCGTTTTACACACTGGACGCGCCCTATAATATGAATTTTCATTTTTCTCACTCGTTTTATCTCTACTTTTACGCATAATGGATATGTTTAGCAACGGAATTGGCATTCAACACTTTTTAATAGCATAATTATTGCTCTCAGAGATATTTTTCTTCATTTGATATGTAAATATGCTCAAGGAGAGCTGGGAATAGCTTTTTTAAGGATTTTTACTCTAGCATAAGAACTTCGTTTCATGGCAAAAGGGAATCGGTTGAGTAGTTCATTGAAATGAATTCACAATCTCCTGTCATTGGAAATAATCGTTCTCATTATCCTTATTAATTCACGTTCAATTCACAATTAGATGAATCTTCATATATTTTCATTGAATTATGGCACTCAATCTCAACAACTACCTAACACCCGCACGGATACAACTATCGAAGCGACGGCACGTCCATAAATACCTCTCCTCTCTGCCCCCCACCCACCCCAAAACCCCCAACAACATCCTAACTTCACTAAATCCCCTGAATTTCCAACCAACTTTCCCGGAAAAAGAAAACAAAGACCCCACTCCAAAAGTTTACAAAATTACGGAAATTCCTTAACAGCCTTAATGGGGTTGGACGCAAATATCAGAGTCTCCACTACTAGCCATGGAGAAATTAGCGGAGTCTCTGTCAGCCACTCTGCTGCCAGTATTAGTGGCTGGGAAGAATTTATTTTGCAATGGTTGAGGAAAGGTGTGATGCCCAGTGGACAGACTCCACGGTTGTGCCTGCACATGAACAGGATTGGGTGGATATCTCTTAACGAATGAATTACTAGCTGCAGGATTATGAACAATCCTCATGCCATTGTGATGGGATGGCAGTGTCGTATGACTCGGTGGAAGAATGCCGTGTCCATTCTGTTGAATCGAGTGCTGAGGAACAGATCCACAACTGCTGGATGAACCAGTGATGGCACCATTGATACCATTGTTACCGGATACATTGACAGCTGAAGTGCTGTTTGATCCACTGGTGTGTGCGCCATGAGGCAAAGGCATTGTGGAACAATGAGGATAAGTGGGCACAACTGGTTGAGTTGGATAATGCGGTAATGTTGCTGAGGATGCATGAATGCCGCCTTTGAGATCGCTGTTCTCGGTGAACGATGTCATTCTCATGTTAGTGGAACGTGAAAATGGCTCGGGATCGTTGGGATTGAGTGGCTCTGTTACTTTTGGTCTTGATAATCTTCTGCGAATCACCACTGTCGCTTCGTTGGCATTTTCGAGGATGATGGCAGGACATCCGGCCGCTTGGGGTGGCGCCACTTTGTTATCACCATTGCGATACTGGGAGAACGGTTGACAAGTCGCTACTATTCCATTTTGGACTACAGTGGCGATGAAGTCCTTATTTCTGGATGCTGGGGGCTGAATGCCTCGTTGGAGTGAACAACTGCGCCAGTGGTTTTCGTCTCTGGTGCCGGAGAAGTCGCCTGGGCCGTTCGGAATTCCACTGAGATCGTCGACGCTTGTGGCGCGACGTTGATGAGAGCCTGCTGACGTGTGGGAGACGTTGCTGACATTTGAGTGGACTCCACTGGACGTTTCACTGTTGCTACTTGTGTTGCTGCGGTTCGTTGAACCGGATTCTGAGGCGTAGGTTAAACCCACCACTGGTGGGATGGTCTCTAGAGTTGCTGGTGAGTTTGACGAGTCCGAGCGAGGGGTGAGCTCGTCCTGTGGCATCCCGGAGTCACCCCGGCGCAAGCAGCGGGGGGTGTATCCGGTGGGCTAGAAGGGAAAAAAATTATTTCAACGTTTGTTCCTTGACGAGCGCAAATTCCCCCCCTCGCAATTGCATTCACGACGAGTAATTCAATTAGAGCTGCAGGACACCCCCAGAAAAGCTCCTTAATATCGGACTTCAATGCCTCAAATTGATTGGAAACTGTTTACTTGACCGTCCTTTGTCATATTTTGTTGGTTTGGAAAAAAATTAATACGTATCATAACGCGAGCGCTCGGTACACGGTGGGAAACCGATGGTGCCCCGCAGCTTTAAATAGATTATTGATGTTTTTACCTGCTGGGGAAGAAGAGAGTTAGTGGGATTTTGACTGGTTGATGTAGCAGCCCCATCATCAACGACATCGACAGTCGCAATAGGAGAATTAGTTAGTGGGGCTGGTGGGGGTAAATCAGCGACGTTGGGATCGGGTAAGGGTTCGGGTGTCAATAGAGGCGAAGGATCTCCCTCCGATGGCTGAAGATCACGGTTGCCATTCGCGTAGTACGTTACTTGATCATCGTTAACACACTCCAGAAGCTAGTCAAGGAATTCATGCGTGTTAGTTAATTATTCGATAGTTGGTTAGAGAATTCTAATTTGTCAAGTCAAATGCTACGATTATTCGAAAACACTCAAGTCACACGAATTTCAATTCCCAATCCATCAATCATCTAGAATCTACTCATTCTGATTCATCATCTAATTTCTACGCAAACCATCGACACTCCAAATTAATTGGATCAATCTGTTAATTTGATCTTTTCAATTTTCTTTGATTTTTTATTTGTCTTACATCCGCAGTTTTGGGAGGGTTCCTACGGGGTAACAGCCATCTACTCCACTGCAGGGTGAAAATAAATGGTTCAGTTTGTTTTTCTTCTTTTTAATTCAGTGAAAGTCATTTATAGGCTTATAGGATTCAACTTGGAGAGTTGGATAATTGACAATTTTCAATCATAAAATGACGTTTACCTTATTTTCTTCGGATGTTGAATCATCAGCTGTGTCAATGGCAGTCATCAACGGTAATTCACGTAGTGTGGCATAATCACCGTCGTCCTCCGGTCCACCCTCGGCACCTCTTCTTTTTCCCTTATTGCTAGAGTGAAAATTGACACGTCAGAATGAAATTCTCCCAGTTGAAGTGAATTTAAGCGATGAAATGGAGGACCGAAAATGAAAGGAAAGCACGCAATTGAGTGGAGAAATGCAAGAGATATGAAGTGAGAATGAGAAACATGCCAAACGACACCAAAAGGACAGAGGAGAGTAGTTACCGCGGGCCAGACGTACTAGGCAGATCGTTAAATGTCACTTTAGGTCGGAGTTTCTTATTGAGCCAGCTCTTGTCCAAGGTACCACCAGTTCCATTGCCACTGGGTGACTGGGCTGGCGAAGGTCGGAGCTTCGGACGAAGCCAGTAAATCTGCTCGTCCTCGGTTGCACTGGACTCTGCCTCATTCCGATTAACATTACCACCTGAAACGAGAAAAACCATCAATTTTCGTTTTCATTCCTATTTCTCCCATTTTCCCAAATGCACGGCACCTCGATCACGCTATTCCACATTATGTCTGGAATTTAAACCTCTGAGTTTATGTTACCGTGGCTGAACATATCCCATTTCAAAAGTCATAAACTAGGCTTTAGAACAGTATATAGGGAGTTGTATTTCATTACATCCTTTTCACATTATTAACGTAGGGCTTGGAAATTTCGCCGTCACGCGACGCAGATGCTTTCGAAAATGTTGACATTCCGAGGACAATAAGAAATCATTAAGGATGTTCGACACCCTTTTAGCCAAAATTGACGTTGTTTTCATTTTTCTGGCAAATTATCGATGGGAGTGACGTGAAAAAATATAACGATTTTGTGGTTTGTCATTCTTTAATGGCTCACGAAGTTGCGTAGTGGTGCGATAATTTTCATGCGTTTTTTCTACAGTTTTGTGATTCTTTTTAAAAGTTTAGAGAAAACGCAGGAAAATGTTCGCACCAC